AGAAGCAATTTAGATATTTATAATTTATCTCTTACCCGCGATATTTCAATGAATACTTCTCTTCTAAATAGGTTTACTTTAATCCAACGGTTCTCCCCTTCTGGCTGCAAAAAGGGATTATGGAAAAAGAAATATTCACAGATAACAAATAGACTGACAAAAGACAAATATTTGCCCCTATCCCCAGGAGATATTTGCAGGCACTGGTGCGGTTCCACCTGCCCGCGGCCGCCTCGCACAGGCTCTGCGTTCATTCACCGGTGCCGGTGGCAGCAAGGTGCAGGAGCGAGCCCCTGCCCTGGGCTGGGGGCAGCGAGTGGGCTCGGTACCGGGCCTGGCAGAGCTAGCAGGAGGGTTAGGAGCTCACTCTCACAAAAAAAACATGATCTGGGTTTAATACCCCAGCTGGGCGAGCGCAGGGGTGCAGCTCTGCACATCGCGGTGCGTGGTGCTGGGCTCGGTTCTGGCCGTGGCGTGCCCGGTGCTGGTGGTGAATATACCACTTAAAGAAATTTCGGCTTTGATCTTTAAATCAGCGGCACGGCCCTCGGGCAGCCACCACGGCGAGGTCGCAGTGGCTCTGAGCGCTGCTGCCCTCTCACATCGCCTGTGCCGTGCAGGGCCCTCCATGTGTCCTGCTCCCCATCCTCCCCGTTCTCCTTCTCTCTGCGCCGTCCAATCCATCAGCTGAACAATAGCTGCGTTTGTTTCTGCAATAAACCTGTAATTGCCTTAAAATGAATTTTAATCCACTGCTGGCTGAGCTGCAAATGAAGTGATCATACGCAGCCTAACATCTTAACCACGGCTCTGTTGAGGGATTTTTGGTGATTCTGCGGAGGTGCTGCGTGCTGCAGAGCGCTGCCTGTTTGCCTCCCCGCTTCTTTGCATTTCATTGCAATTCATTACCGGAGAACCTCTGTCTTGAAATATTACAAAATCAACCTTTAAGATCCTCCTGGAGCAGCAAGATAATTACGGTGGGTCGACATTATCCTTCAAGGCAGAAAGCACCTTCTCCTGAAGCCATCCCCGCCGTCTGGGACTGCAGGAACGGGCCCTAATGGTGCGCTGCTGCTCTCAGCCCTGGTGGGCTGCTGGAGGAGACTTCACCTTCTGGTGAAACCTAAACGGAGAAAATCTCATCCATCCTGCACTGGGACGTCCCTGGCCTGAAGGGAAGCGAGCAGAAACGCTCCCGTTAACCTCACCCCGATTTCCCCTGCCGTGAAATTGGGCACAGGTCGGTGCGAGGCGCCCACGTGGGGTCTGACGGCAAAGGGGGGGACGTGCTCCCTGCTGTCACTTTAACAAAAAACCAACAGATTTAAACTTGCAAGGTGTGCAGATGTTTAGGATAAAAGCAGCAGTCCTCTTCAGCTGGATCATAAAGCGGGAGCAGCCCTACAGGGGTGAATAAATGCCTGTTTAAAATCCGTTACTTCAGTAAATAAAGGTCTGCCCTCCCCACCCACCCCCATTTTAAGCTACCCTTGCAAATTGGTTTCCAATTTACAGAAATCAATTAAAATCACATATTCTAAATGCAACAACCAACAGTGATCTTCCCGTAGATGTCATTCAGCCTTCATTTTAAAAACAAAATCAAGATTCAAAAAGCTGTGCTGCTGCAGCAGAAAGTTTCACCTTTTAATTTTTCATACAAGATTAATTTTTAATTTTCAGACATCAGAGATAGAGGGAAGTTCCCCAGGAGCCCTCCTGTTCAAAGAGCACTCCAGGCAACTATTGCCATCAAGTGTCAATTTATCACACTGAAGGCTCGGACTGCCTGATGCATATTTTTCCCGATATTTTTTAAGACAAAAGTAAGGTTGTTGTTAAAGTTGTGGTGTTTGCTGAAGGCCAGGCACAGACGGGACAGACTCATAGGCCTGTGAGCTGAGCCTTGCTGCATTTTGGAGCGCAGTGAGCGGTGATCAGCACCCAGACCCCCTGCTGCCACCGTGAAGTCAGGGATTCAAGCTGCAAAAGATGAAGTTTGTACGAGAGAACTGCAACACGTGCAGGCGTGGAAACTCAGCACACCAGGACTAAGGGAAATGCCTGGATACGAAGGCAACTGTGGGGTTGGTAGCTCCATCTGGACAGGTTTTTGAGACCAAATTCAGCCCGCTCCAAAGCACTGGTGGCCTCCTGGCCGTGTCCATCTCCACACAGAGAGATGCCTTGCTCCCCATGCGGCGCTGAGACCACCAGGCAGACAGATGCCTGCCTGGTGAGCAGAGGCACATCCAGAGGTGAGCCTGGAGTGAGCTTCTGCCAACCCTTTCACACAGTTAATCTGCTTCATGCGAAGAGCACCGCGTCCTTGCCATCCACGGCACATCGTGTTGGGAACGGGGCTCTCCAGCGCCTCAATCTGCTCCACCCCAGCCCCGCTGAGCCCGGCTGTGCCCCACGGCACGGCGCTGTCCTGGCGCCCAGGGCAGCAGAGCCCACGCGCAGCCCTGCCCGTGTGTCTGGGAGGCCGGGATGCGTTTGGGTGAATTTCTGAGTCAGCTGCGAGGAATGCTGATGGGCCGCAAGACGCAGACGCAATGTAAAACAGGAACATTACGCTGTTTGGAAAAAATCCGGGATCGATACATTTGATGTAGTTTGCACTGACCTCAGTGGTCTGCATCTTCAAATAGCTTTGTTTTTACGCATGACTGACACGCTTTGAAGAGGACAGAAGCCAAACGCACACCCTTGCAGTCAATCTGTGCCCTGCAGCTGGCAGGCTGGGCACCCCACACCCTGCTCCCCGCGGGCACCGGCAGGCTCCGGAGAGCGGCCGTGGGGCTGGCAGCAGGGGGAGGCCTCCCCCGTGCCTCGTGTGCCTGAAGGGAGCAAACTTGAAGTGTCCGGTGCAGTTCCGTTGCTTCCTTTTTCTCCTATAAATCTCAAGTGGCTTCTCATTTCCAGTATCTTCCTCCCAATCCCACTAATTAGCGCGCAATCGCTCCCGCCCCAGTTCAAGCAGAATATTGTGTGACAGTTCGGAGGCAATCATGCATACGCAATTAATAATGTAAAAGTACATCGCTCCTTATCTCCATCACCTTCCCCCGTATTGGCTCCTCTCCCCCAGCCTTAATGCATGCTCTTTTAAGCTGGAAAAGAGAGCACCTCCGCATTTGATCTCTTCTGACTCTCCCTCCGCCTCTGTGCCTGTGTGTCCAGAGCTGTCCGTCAGCCCGTCCCCGCTGCCCGCCGGTCCCAGCCCCCTGGAAATGCCACTGACCGTGCCCTCCCACCCTGATCAGCACCCCTTAACCCTCAACACTTCCCCAGGTTGTGTTCATCAGGCCATATTATCCTTGATGGACTTTATCCCTCCAAATCAAAGCTGTGGTTTTACTCCTAGCGCCAGGATGGGGACTTGCGCTCTTGGCCAGCGCAGCCACAGCACCGGGGGACACCGCTCCTGCCCCAGATCGTCCCTTGCTGGGGACAAACCCAATGCCCCACTCGCTTGCCATGGGGACACCCAAAGCACCATCGGGTGCGCGGTCGTGGCCACCTGCACCCGGTCAGAGCCGGAGCAGAGCCTGGGAGCAGCGGCGCAGGAAGGGCCGCAGAGCTGCTGAGCGTTTGGTGTAGCGCTCGAGAGCGCAGCCAGATATTAAATTATCAAAAAAATGATGCTGCATAAATGAAAAAAATATTGATCCTTTTGCATCAAAATGCAATCATGCCAAATCAAAAACAATTAATGTCCCCGAATGCAGATATATAGCAGGAAATAGGCACGCACTTTTTATAGGCAAATTGCTTAAGGTACAGTACAGGCTCTGGTATATTTTCATTTCTATTAAATGAGGAGACTGCAGCTCCGAGCTCCCTGGGTTCACTACATTTGAACAGATCTACGCACAAATCAAACAGTTTATATTTTGCGAAGTAAACAGCAAAAACCAGCACATCTAATTTTTGAAATTCTTCTGGCTTTTCTTTTTGACCTTTGGTATTTGTGCGTATCGATGCTCTCTAAAGCGTTGCACAAAAACACCTTGAAGTGTCAAGCTTTAAAAATGAGTCTTCTTTTCTCTTTCTCCTGTGCAGCTTGGATTATCTTGGCCTTGTCAAAATACATTCTCTAGTTAGAGGTTGGAAATATTTCCCTCCTGGCTCCTAGGTATTGATTTTTCACCACTCAGCTCTGCTGTCAGCCAGCGAGGGGAAAGGTGAAAGTTCGCCCAGCGCTGCCTGGCTTTGCCCCCCGCCAGCGCCGTGCCCCTCTGTGCCGGATCCGCGCCGGCATCCCCGACAGAGCTGCTACCGCCTGCATTTCACCTGCAAGAAAACCCCGGGGCCACGGGTATTTTAACACATTCGTGCACTGTGAAAATGGAAGATTCACCCAATTCTTGTTTCTTTTTTTTTCTTTTTTTTTTTTTTTTTTACTTGCTTTGTTCTGAAGGGCTGTTCGGTGATGTCTGACCTCAGACCCGCCCCTGGTGCGCCACCACACCGTGGCACGCACCCCCGCCAGCCCCAAGCTGCTCAGGCTTCTTGCACAAATAAAACCAATTGCAATCAAAAAAAAAAAAAAAAAAGAAAAAGAAAGTGTGTATTGTAAATTCCAACCCAAATGCATATTAAATGCACTTGGCAACCCTACACTCCACGCTAGGAAATCTCAGTGTTTAATTTGTGTTAATCAGTTTCTTTGGAGGAATCTGAACCGAATACAAGGAAGTATCACCTTGTGAACACTGATGTTGATGAATTTCTGGAAGACTCCAATTCCTTTGTTTGCTTTAGCTCTGTTGTGTCGGGAATTGAGAACTTTATTCCCGGCACCTTCCTACCTCCACCTTTTGCACTGAGGGCTCTCAGTGCCTCCTGCGTGACTGACGGAATGCCACTTCTGGTCCTCAAATGAAAAATGTATTTCTTGAATGGTGAAAAAACTCCAGATTACTGGCTCATAAAACAGGTGCAGGAAATTATCTGCGTGCCATGAGGCTGATGCCACGACAACAACACTCTTCAATACAACTCAGTTTTATTTCCCAAGCATATTTACACCAGGTTGTTCAATACATACAGCAGATGGGGAGTGGATTCAGAAGTTGCTCGGGAGGCAGCCACTTCCATCATTTCCCATGGATGGTGACTTCCATCATTACAACATTTTCATACAGGTGTCTCATCATGTCATCTTTTGCTTGTAAACTGCCAGCGAAGCCACATACGTCTCCACGTTTACAAGGACAAGTCCAAATACAGCACTAACAAATCAATAGAGCACTAAGAGCTTACACCGCAATGACAATACCGATTCTGCAGCGGTGCTGAGAGATGGGGGCTGCGAAGTTGGGGACTAGGGCTAACGAAGTCACCGAAGCAGGGGGTGTGTTTAGGCAGGTAGTTGTGTTCAGGCTGCAGAGGACCCTCAGGTGCTGCGGGCTGGGTGAGGACCAGAGCGAGCCCGGTGCCCTAAGACGGGTGCTGCGGGCTGAGGATGCTCCTCCACCAGCGGACCGCTCACCGTCAGTGCCCCTGCGGCTTGGTGTGCAGGGCTGGCAGGCACACGGCTGCCTCTGCCTTGCACTTCAGAAAGCCCATTACACTCCTACCCCAAAACAAACACTTTAATGCATAGATCATTCAAGGTGTTTGCTCGCTACACCACAAAGGGAATCACTGCAGGGCTACGGCCCGCTGCTCCCCCCGCGGCCGCAGTTTGTTTCTGAAAGCAAACACACGCACAGGTCGTGAGATCTGTCCGAAAATAACGGTGGTATCGGATCCTGGAACCCCTCTGGGTGTGCTTACAGTGCACCCTAACGCCTCCCTCACACCCCCACACTGAGCGGGACGACGCTGCAGCCCACAGATGGGAGCCTGGCAGCTCTTCTTTGCTTTAATCACTGAGGTTACAGCTACAGCTTTATAAACACAATGTACATGCACCTTGCATCAGTTCACTTCGAAAAGACCCTGATATTCTACGACAGAGTTCTCTACCAAATTCTACATTCCCGCCAGATACAAAGAGTAAATTTTGCGGCAGTTTGTGTTAAACATTCCTAATGGTCTTAATTTTTAAATTTTTAAACAGCAAACAGATATGTAGCTTCTGGACTGTAAACCTCACTTCCATATACAGTGTACTACACAGACCACCTAAAATAAAATTAATAATAAAAAAAAAATCAATGCTTTTTAAATTTAGAAGCCGTTTTAAAAATTAATTTATTCCTTTTGGGGAAGGGAGGATTCTATGAGTACCATTTTTACTTTACCATGTAAAGACAGCCTTCTTAGTTCTGTGAGCTTTTCAGACAAAAATGGCAAAGAAAAAGCTATACAAACATATACATCAATATGTTTAAATAAAATAGTATTTCATAGATTTTTTTCTTTACTGTGAGCATAAACCAGCATACTTTCACACGATTAAATATTTCATAAAATTAGATATGTAAGAAGGAAACACAGTCACAGCTAACGTTACATAGGAATATTCCTACCGAGGGAACTGTTCCCATACATCCACTCAAATAACTTACCCATTTTTCACAATTTTTGTGCCGGACTCGCTACCCACCAGTGCCATTTGTGCTGTTTGCCCCGGTGTCTCGGCGAGGCCAGCCCATGCAGCACACAGCCTGCCTTCCCACAGGGCCCAGCACAAATGGGAGCGGCTTTTGGAAGAAAAAGCTTTTTTTCTCTCTCCTTTTTTTTTAAATAAATACCTTCACTGGTAGCAAAAACCACCTTTATATATAAATACTCCTCTGTTCAAGTTTGCTATTCTATCTTAGAGAGATTTCGTAATATTTACACGTGGGTTGTTACTCTTTCTTCCAGCTACAGCAAGCGATGGTGAGCACAGCAGCACTGCTGGGGCACCCAAACCTCCGTCCCTTCATGGTCCCGACCCCGAGCCTATCAGGCCCTCACCAACAGGCCCTAAGGGGCGTCACCCAGCGATCATTCAGTGGTCACTAGCAGAAAGTCCATGTAAACACAGCCTTTTTGGGAAACACTGAGGGTCCGCCGGCGGGTTTCGGGATGCTGCCGCCTGGGCTCGGCCCCCAGTGAAGGAGCCCGGGGTGGTGCCTGCGGCCGCTGCCCAGGCCTCGGCGTGACCGCGTGTCCTGCTGCTGCTGCTCCGGGAGCTGGGACATCCCCAAAAGCCATCCATCCTCCCGCTGCTGTGGGGAGAAACCACCCCGTGTCCCTGTCCATGTCCATAGGCCGAGCCGCCGCGGCCTGGCCGGTCCGTGAGGCGCTGAGGGGCGCTGGGTGTGTGGAGCACAGAGACAAAGGAAGAGGGAGAAGGACAGGGAGGTCGGGGACAGCGCTGTACTTGTGGCTTCCCCTAGACCATGAAGCGGTGCTCCTTGCCGTCGTGAGCCATGAGGATGACGTTGCGGTTGGAGGTCCAGATGAGGCGGGCCAGCCGCAGCGCGTTGTGCGAGCCGGGGGAGGCCGGCTGCACGGGCGGCACCTGGTACGTCTTGATGCAGCGCAGCTGAGGCGCCGAGTTGAGCATGCCGATGCTGCCCAGCAGGGACGTGTTCATCTGCAGAGACAGCCCCGTGGCACCCCCGTGGCACCCCAACACCAGCGGGGAACCCACCTGGTGCCCACCGCCCTGCCCTGCCCGCCCACACCAGCTGTAATTAGCGCTCGTTAGGCAGGGCCAAGCAACGCTGTTGGATGGGAGAGCAGCTGAGAGGCTACCACCCAGTATAGCAAGCAACATCTTTACAGCTACCCCTGCATCCCCCCAAAACAAGAGAAAGGTGACTATATATGAGTAGAAGGAATACCAGTGACAGTCACAAACCTGTTAAAATGTCCCTCCTGTGCACGGGACTCAGTGAAGTTTAGCAATCAGTGACCACTTCATCTCCCTGCTTTGCCCATGTAATTTTTTTTCTTAGCATTCTCCTTGACTGTCTCTTTTTCAAATAGAATGGTGAGATCGGAATCAATAAGCTAGCTAGGAAAATTGCATAGCTTATTCGGTATGGTGAAAAGTATCACTTACACTATATTTGTATGGCTTTGTTATTGAAGGATTTTTTTCAAAATTTAAGGAGAAACATGAAATGTTAATAAGCAAATGTTAAATATGAAGAGTTTTATTATTTTCTGGGAGAAAACCAAACCATTCAGGAGAGGTTCCCTGCATTGTGCTCTCAGGAAAGCAGGCCAGTTACTGATGCACGCTGCCTAGCTCCGTGTTTTAAAAACGAGATTTGCTGCTCTAGCCCACCAAGGCACACAAACCACTACTCCTTCCAAAGCCCTCCTCTGCAAAGCCTTCCCATCCCTACGCACGGCAATCCGAGGATTTCCACGGAGCGCCTCGCTGTGTCCCCAGGCTGTGCCATGCACAGCCCTGGGACAGGGCAGGCGCGGTGCTGCTGCTGCCACGCTCTGAATTCTGATCAGGACAAAGTACAAGCCATTACTTTTTCCTGGCTCTTCTCAGCAGCAGAATGGTGTCAGAGAGTGTAAATCATGGCATCTCTAGCAGGGAGCATGCAAGCACCACTGACATTTTCACAATTTAAATCATCTTGAGTAATAACCCTTTTAAGATGACTAATGTTACTGATTTTCCTGCATTAATAATAGTGCCAAATAGAACACAGAAGGGAAAAAAATCACTAGTGCACGAGGTCACATTTTAAAACTAAATGTGTAGGTATATTTAACTCTTTATGTAAAAGCCACTTGAACGCGAGCATTTATACACCTGGAAGAATGTGGCAGCTCACAATTTAAAACACGTGCGTGCCTGATTTTTTTTTTTCCTGCCAATTTTACAAGATCTGGTCTGATTGCTTTCCAGATTTTCCCTGAGCACTTCAATTGAATAAATGTAACTGATGGGTGAAGATTCTCGCTGTTCTCATTTACTGTTTCAGAAAGCACACAGTGTAATGAGGGATAATAATTTAATAATTATTATGGCACCTGTAGAACTAATGAATGGCATCAAAACGAGGGAACTACGTTAACGACTCGCTGGTAATTATGGGAATACTGAGTTCTGCTTTATAGTCTGATTACTGCAAAACTACATTATTTTGATAGTCTGCACAAATTGCTTGTTCAGATCCATTTTGAAGTCTAAAGCCATTTGAAGGAAGAAAAAAATGCTACCTAGGGAATGTAGGCAGCAGTTAAGGCCTCTTCTGGGGTAATCTGTCCCACCAAGCTACGTGTTTATTTATCTGCGATTAACAAAAATACTACTGACATGAGATCACACAGACAAGAAGAACTGCTGATGTTAAAAAAAAAAAAAAAGATAAACGGTCTAGATACTTCACAAAATGGTGGTCTGATCCTCAGCATCTCCCATTTCAGCCCCTTTTCGTATTGCCTCTCCCCCAGTTTTCCTGTTTCCAGCCCTATTATGAAATGGAAGGCAGCCCCACAGCACAGTGCAGCTCCCCGACGGCACGGCACGCGGGCTTGAGGCACAGCAGCTGTGGCTGCTGAGCAGCAATGGGATCAGTGGTCACCTTAATAGCTCTGCATCGTGTTTAATAAAAAATAGAATGGAGAAATGCCGTGAAGGTCTTCATCTACGGGAATTTATGAGATTAGAGAAGAAAAATGCCTACTGATAGGGATGGGACCGAGAATGGGAGCACAAGCACCTGGCCTGGCCTGCTGAGAACTCGTTGGGGCTCTCCTCCACGGCCCTAAATCTCATCGGGTGGATGCTTTAGGAGTGTGAAACCGAACTGTTAGGCTCCCAGGAACAGTCCTTACCTGCCAGAAGGAGAGGTGGCTGTCGGAGTTGGAGTAGGTGGCGAGGTACCGGCCGTCGGGAGCAAACGCCACTGCAGTTATGGGCCCTTTGTGACCGTGGATCGTCTGGCGAGAGGGGAGAGAACAGAAGGCAAGAGCGTTTGTTACTGCGCCACAGCCGGGCTCAACAGGCTTGCAAGTAAAAAAGGCAACAGCAGCTGAACTTCTGGAAAAAGACCACTACAGTCAGGAAGAAGCAAACTGCGTGCCTCTTCCCCCTGTTCCACCGTTGTAGCTTTGGTCTTGAATCTCACGTATGACACGTATGATAGTGAGGACTGAGTGCAGGGCCAGCCAGTACAGGGCTACACACAGGTTCTGCTGTTTTTTTTTTATTGTTTTGTTCTGTTTGTTTATAACTCACAGGAACACATGAAGTTTTCTCGTTGAAAATATCATTTTTTACCGGATTATCACGAAGAAAACACCAGTGACACGCGTGCAAACTATTGCTTGGTAAAATATGCAGTGGCTGCTCCTTCTGCACGAAGAGGAAAAAAGACTTTGCAACATTCATCGACAAAAAACTAGACCGTGAAAATAAAAGCAGGGCCCCTGCAGCCAGCTCCTGGACGCTAGAAGTAGCTCCTGGACCTACTGAGTTGGCACGCTGCTCCTAAAGCTAGGCTGATATTAATAACCCGTTAATATATTTATTTACTGCTTATCACGTACAAGTTGAGTGAAGTCAAAAGGAATCCCAAACCCATGTCTTTAATGTAATCACCACAGTGTAGGATGAAGATTTGAAAGGGCAATTAATTAGGTGATCCACCCTTCAGACCCATCAAACTGTGCAGCACTTAACAAGCAAGTAATACTTGTCAATAAAAAATGTTTTGGTAATACAAAGGTGGAAAATCAATAGTACTAGCACACTTGTTGCTCTTTTTACTACTGAAAATGTGTTCCAATAAGTACAATCCTTAGGGGAATTAACGTGCTTTGTTATTTAAAGCGAGTGCCTCTCTAATTGATGCTAATCCTTTCAAGCCAAGATTTATTTTTTAGTGCGCTATCTAAATGTGTACTTCACAACGCTCATCTTCTGTTTCTTAGGCAAGCGAATAAGCATAACAAAACCAAATTATTGCTGCTCATTCAAAATATTCCGCTTGCACCCATCCCTTTGGAGTTCAGGCTTGGCTTAGGACAGCAGTGCTTCGGCAGCACCACTTCTAGGGCAACGACATTACGCAGTTTTCCTGCTCTGATGTAATTATATTTTATAAAAGTATGCAAAAATCTGTGCAATATTGGTTAGAAAACGCTCTCAATTTTGACCGGCAGGCGGGGTGGGACAAAGTGCAGCTGCTTGTAGTTTCCCGCTGCCCAACCAATTGTTTTTTAATGGGAGGACGCTCCTGGGAGACTATTTGACTTCTGCACCTGCCACCGCCGCAGCCCTCCACCACATGATATACTGGAGCTATGACAGCCTCATTCCGAGCCCAACATTCAGCAAACTCCACGCTGGACTGCATTATTCTGTTAAAGGTGACATAAAAAATAAGTACTGTATCACCGCAGCGATTTGATTTTAATAAATACACCGAAATGCATACTTTAAATTGATAAAGTAACTTACACACCGCTGGAGAGACACAGCAATATTCCGCCACATTTATTATTAGATATTTATCTCCCTGGCCTCTGGGGGTACCTTAACTAAAATGAAACAAACACAAAATCACTTAGTGGGAAAGCGGCGTGCCTGCTGCACCCCCCAGAAGCGATGCCCTCGAACAAACCGAGGCTCTCACGGCCAAACGCCAGCCCCACAGCGATCCGCCAGCTTTAACTGGGAATGGTGTGAAAGCATCGCTTCCAGTTTTTGCGTGGGAAACAGCCTCTGCACAAGGAGTGCTTGCTTGAAATTAAGCAAGATTTTAAGGAAATTAAGGAGATGAGTCTCTAACTGCTGCCCTGCTCGGAGATGAGTTGCTGACAGTGCTGAAAGTTTAGAACTGATATTATCAATAGATAAAGGTAGGTCTGATAGACCAGTCTCTCCTTTTATTTTTAGCATCATGGGACTAACTCTGTATCATGCAAAGAAGAGTTTTGCTTTTTTTATATAATTTAAATTAAAAATTGTAATTGTAATTTGAATGCTGACATGGGGTACAAAGACCCGTGGAACACACACAGAGCCCAAGCTGCACAGGGAAATAAATACTGCTCTTGGAAATGAAGATAAAGCTGGCAGAGCTGGGCAGGGAGCGCACACCAATAAATACTTACAAAGCCTGCTGTAAGAGCAAAGGAGCCATCACAGCTCCGCATCTGCTCCTGGTTTCAGACACAGAGGAGACGAACAGCACCTCAGCAAGGCAGCACTGTGCTATGCCCAGGTCGCATTTTTCTTTTCTTTCCCTGGTTATTTTTATTTTTCTCTACCTCGCGACCATCGCCACTCTCTCTTTCCATGTATAATCACAACATGAATTCAGAAGTTGTACACAGCCCACGTTGAGCAGCTGGTTTCCCAAACCCTGCCAGCTTTGGTCTAAGCTCAGCTGGAACAAGAGCGTGCCCGATAAAACCTTTCTTTCATATATTTTCTTTTCAATTGTCCTTCAAAATCCAAGCACACGAGATGTTCCCAGATCGCAGTCTGTGTGTACACACTGAGGACATTTTATAAAAACACAGCTAGCGAAACTAAAGAGCTTCACCTGAACAGACAGGTGAAATACCATCTCTCTTCTCATCCCACATATAAATTCTTTCATGATGCCCCTTCAAAGGCTTTCACGAACCCAACTCTCCAAGCAATCTAGTAGAATTATCTCATGTAGCATCAAATTAAATAATTCCAGTATTTCTAATAATTAAATTTCCGTCTTCTTTCAAGTAATAACAGCAATTGCAGTAAAAATTTCAGGACTATACTGAGAAAAAGTATATTTAAATCTTCAAATTAATTTTTCTTCCTGTCCTTCAAGTGGCTTCTCAATAGCATCCAGATAAAGTCAAAGCACATATATTAAAATGTTTAACTTAATAACGTATATAACTTAATTTTTAACCTTCCACTAATAGAATTTTGCATCAACCATTACTATTACTCAGTATGAAAATGTGACTGGCATGATCTGACAGGCAGCATGCAACGAGAGCAGAAAGTGACCTTGAACAGCAGTGTATAAAAATACATTTATCACCGAAATGGCATGCCGGCTGTCAGTCAATATATGCTTCTCATTTGTTAGGAGGTTCTCCTGCTGTGATTCCCTCATTACAATTTGCTTTTACTTCCTGGGCAAATGACAACCAGAAAATGAGGCAGCTTCTTTCTTGACCGAACTTAATCCAGAAAAAATGAGATGACAGCTGCACCCATCCAAGTGTTACAGGATGGTTGAGAAACGGTTCCGAAATGTGCAGCCTGACCATTTCACCGCCTCTGTAGAAGAGCCCAGAGCGAGCCTTGCATCCCCTGAAACCGTGACTGTGAGCAGCACACACACGGGGCTCCCCCAGATCCATCCAGCCCCCTCCCCAAACACCCAGATAACTGCAAACACCGCGTTTCTGCTCTCACTTCAGGAATGTGCTTCTCAATTCGAGAGTTTCATATGGCACCATCAAAACCCACAGGGCACGCTGTGAAACCAATGCCATGGTGGTTTCACGAGAGGTTGGTGGTAATGCAGTAGCATCTCAGAGCATTTGCATGAGGATGTGTCAGATCCCTCAGCATTGTTATTGAAATTTTTATCTCCATGGCGATTGTTCTTGTAAAAGAGCTTTCAACAGCTCATCGGCTGAACTTTATGCTGTAACTTCCAGGAAAACAATTTTACATAAGAATTCTGATTATGCTCAGAATACCAATGAAAAGGGGAGAAAAAAGTGCTTAATATTTTCTCCAGGTTAACACTATTTTGTGAGATGAAACATTAATTATTTTAAACCCTTACTTCAAAGAGGTATATTATCAATTACAAGCAGTCTGTGTAAAAAAAATACAAAATATAGATAGGAACCTAGAAGAAAAGAGATTATACTGGCCAAATACCAGGCTTCTTGACTTGCACAGCTCACTGCTGTGAAGCCCTGTAAAGTTTTAGATCTCAAACCTCAAATCCCTCAAGGCTGAGGCTCAATAGACGCGAGGAAGTTTGGGCTGACGTCCCAGTGCCAGAGAGCACTTCACACGGAGAAAAAATTCCTATTCGAGCAGCTGTCACTAGGTTTTCAAGCAGGCACGGTGTTCCCATAAATCCCCCACTCGTTCTAGTCACAGTGCTCCTTGCTACGGCACCGTTGGGCTGAAATATCTTCTGGAGCCCTGCTAACGATGGGACCTGGGGCTCAGCACGCAGTGCCTGTCCTTAAACAGCTCCGTTAGGATGTGCCTCTTCCCTTCCAGCTCCACTCAGCGAAGTTTTACAGAGAACTGCTTAGATATCACATTCATATTTGGAGCGCTGCAATATTTGTAACCTTTGACTTCACAGCCTTCAATGCACTCGCAGAGCACACAAATCCATAGTTCCCAAGTGACCTGAGACTTTTGTTTAAAGTGTTCAGCAACTCAAATGGAGTAGGAAAAGCTAACAAGATCAGCATATCCTGCCAAAACGCTAGGGTCTGGGGACTTAATTATCCTTCCAGAAGTGCCTTCTGCCATGCAGAGTCTGAGGAAAAAAGGAACTCGCACCAGGATTTCTGAAAGCAGCCTTCTGATTCTTGCTGCTCCTCACTCTAATTTTCTGACCGTGTTTCCAGACCTTTATCAGTTCCTGGGCAAATTGCAACCTATTGCGGAGCTCTGGGAAGCTGCTTTCGTTCCACCTTTACCATTCTCATTTTCTTCCAGAGTCAAAAGCGTTAAAATCAAGATTCTCAAAACAAGTGGAAATTTGGAAGGTCATGTCTAGATTGGAGAAAGAGGTCAGTTAAAAAATGTGTTTGCAACATGATATTAAACAGTTCCGTGTATCTACTGTGAGTCATGTTCAAATATGTGCTTGCTGGTCACAGGCAACCCTAAATGGGGAAACCTCAGTTTGACCGTGACCGTTTAATGCATTTTGAGCATTTTTTGCCCTCTTGCT